TTTTTAATTAATAATAATAATAATAATAATAATAATAATTTCAGTTTAGCATCAATGAATTTAACCTAACTTTACATCTCAGCAATTTTCATGGTATCACCTAAGCGCTGCTTCAAACACAAAATTCAACAAGATGCTAACTTCGCTAATGTCAGCATTAAAATAACTGCTGCCTTAGGGTGCTTTCACACCCACCTTGTTTAGTCCGGTTGAATCAAACCCTGGTTCGTTTTCCCCCTTGGTGTGGTTCGATTGGGCAGATGTGAACACAGCAATCACACCAAGGTACGGACCAAAACAATCGCATCGAGACCTCTTCCTGGATGTGGTCTTGGTACAATTCCAAACGGACTCTACAGCAGTACGTTTGTGGTGTGAACGTGATCCTACCTCAATCCGGACCAACTACAAGGAGTGCAATGCAAGTTTGAGCTAAGCGGTTTTTTTTTGCATGTCGTTGTATGTGCTCAATATTCGCTGCACATCTTCTTTGCAAAGCATTAAGCAGTATTGTATTTTCAATACATTTCCTCAAAGTATATTCTGTGTTCTGTTGGCATAGTTTTATTTGGTTTATTGCCCAAATAATTACCACAGTTATATGCAAATGTTGATTATGCTGTTTCTCCAATGATGCAAAGCAAATTGATTTCGTAGGACTATTCACCAGTAGAAAACACAGATCTTCTTCATGTGTTTACTTTCTCATTCCCACCCCAGACTCCTTTGACTAATGAGAGAAGCTTTCATATGATTTGTAAATGATACATTTTAGTTTGCTTGGATTTTTCTCTGTGTGAAAGAAAACCAAACCGAGGGGAAAGCGGACCAAGTTTACAAACTGGTCCACCGATTTAGACTAGTACATATGAACTACAGGTGTGAAAATAGTTATTCAATAAGAAAATCAGCAAAAAAGGCAGAATTTTAACTGAACAAAATCATCTATGAATCACTGGCTTTGTGCGATATGAAAGGGGTCAGACATTTTCAAACACACAAACCACACATTCAGTGTATAGTTTAGCATCAACTCCATTTTCCAGTAAGCAGCTGATGTTATCCAACAGGACACGACAAGAATACAGTATCTGTCCAGCACCAAACTGCAGACAAAGATGGTGACTAGTTGGTCAGAAAGATAATCAAACATCTAGCAAATGAAAGAGAATGAGCTGCTTCTGATTTTTGCCTCTTGTCAAAGGTTATGGCTATTTTTTTAAATGTCTTGGTGTCTGCAAAATACACATTACATTACCCACCAACTGAGTGTATAACCTACAGTCAGGTCAATATTTCTATTAATAATATAAACAAGTATATGCTTTTAGACAAATGTAACAAAAAAATGCACAGTAACTGATAACGATAAAGTAACACTATCAGGACACTGTAAATGTACTTCAAGCAGATTATTGGTTTTTACTGCAGCTGTATCTGATGAATCTTTATGCTGTACAGCAAGGGTCATGCCGGTTCATAGTAATAACTGGATGTCTGTAACGATTCAATAGATAAAAACCAAACACTATCACAAATCTCTCAGAGAGACAGATTTTTAAAGTTCTTACTCATAAAGCAAGTGTTATGGAACTGACCCAGGGTTCAGCAAAAGACCAAGTTTCAACTTTTATGAGAGCATTGCTCAGCCTATTAGAAACTGTAAGCTATCCTACTAAGGCCAGCAGCAGATCCCTGGATCCCTGCAGCAAACCTGTGCATAGTGTGTATCACCATATTAAGATGTACGCCATCGGCCTGTGATTCACTCATGGTGTACATAATGGCCCTCGGACCCTTCCAGATGGGGAACAAAGGGATCTGGCCTGATGGAGTCCCACATATTGAACGGAGGATAAAAGCAGTCTATGCAGTTTACTGCCTATAGTAAATCCTGAAATGTCATTTCCCAAAAGCAAACCTCACCCATGATTGTACAACAGAGGTCACATTATACAGATGTTACGATCAGCTAAATCAGCGCTGACCTTGTTTTACAAACATGCTCAGCTGACCCTCATCTTGGCAGGCCTCAGCTGGCCCTGCAGAGGACATTTACTTTAACTAATTACACATTTAACTCACCACTTTGAAGTCTTCAGTGCTGCACTCAGAGCCTCTGTAGGAGCAGGAAAGCAGCATGTCCTTGATTTCATGCCCTGTTCGGTCATAGAATTCCCGCATGTTGAAGGGGCGGGGCTTATAGGTCTCAAAGTTAGCCTTTTCCTTGAGAATTTGGAGAACATTTTCCTCCACCAGGTGTGGGTCCCGGATCTCATACCTGCACAGGAAGATTCTGGACTTAATGCGTACACAAGGGAAGCACATTTAGAAATACATATTGACTAACAACACACCCTTATCTCGTCTCTTACAGTAATTTACTTAATTTTGGCTGAAAGCCACCATAACAGGATTGTAATTTTAACATTTTAATTTGGCCATGTTGACTACTGAACATTTTATGTATTTTCTCAAAAAAAAGTCAAACTGTAATCTCAAAATCAGATACAAACTTCTTAAATCTTTTTAAACAAATCATAAAATATTGTTTTGAAATGATTGGTCAAATATGAATAACACAAGTACGTTATACACACACACACACACACACACACACACGGAATTTGTTCCTGGTACAGAACTGATGGCAGCCATCTGCGGCACCAACTCAACCGATGCCTCTAACCATCAGGGGCAATCGGTGGGGGGGGGTTTCAGTGTCTTGCTCAAGGACACTTCGACAGGTGGACTGCCAGCACCGAGATTCAAACCTTCAACCTTCTGGTTGGGAGACGACTGCTCTACCCACTGCACCACTGTCGCCTCCCTGATTGCAATTCTCATCAGCGTTCTTTAATTTAAACACGATCATCTTCAAATGCAAAAAAGCTATCCACAAAACAGTAAAATGTGGATATGGCTTTAAGGAATTCCCAAAGAGAGCAGAGAAAGAAAGACATAACCTTTGGTGTAAATCAATTCCATTTTAAAAAGTGCATTTAAAGAACTGGCAGGCACACAAGAATTTTTGGCAGGACAATAATGTAAAAAAATTAATAGAGAAGCAGAAAAAATTAGCACAATCACCCTCTAAGTAAACCAAAGGCACACATCTGCATCTTAGCGCTCCCAGACCTGCAGTTGGCAAGCTCATAATATTATTCACGTTGCCCGAGACTGGCAGCGTAGCAGTGGCATTCCAGCCACCTCTAATGGTGCTGAGTGGGAGAAAATATTATTATTTAAAGGATGGGAGGAAAAAGCAAAACACTTTGCAAAGCATCTGCAGCCATTTTTTTTTCAAGTGCAAAGTGGAATCATGTGAATCATATAGCAAAGCATATACACATACATTCTATTGAGCTGTTTCTCTTTCCTCTACACAAACACATAAAACACACAATTAATTTGTATCAGGCACGCCAAACTAAACCTACAGTGCATTGGCCATAAAGAAAACATGAGGTCATTTATGCCATGTCCGTACTTGACAACCACCATCAACCTCCAGCACTTACTCACAGTAATTCACAGATACAAATTAACCTCAATTAACTAGTGTGGCCCTGCTCGGAGAAGAGACGGTCGTTGATGACCCCCTGCTGAGTGATGTGCCATAAGTGGTACAAGCATCCAAATTGTGGAGTGCTAAGATTAAGCAATACTGACAGACACTTAAGAGATTAATTTGTGAGGACACACAGTCTAGTGGACTGAACAAGACTGTAAAAGACTGCATAATAGTTTTTGACTCCTTCTCTTTCATCTAAATTAAAGTAAGTACAGCACAGAAGTCCTGAACCTGGGTATAAAGTGAGAGAGGAGCAGGAAACCTATAATAGCATTCATGTTACTGTAATAATTTTGGACATCTCAGTTTACATCTGCAGACATGCATAAGTCTGTCCCAAAGCTAGAGAAACCACATTTAAAAACAATGAGACAGAGTGAGACAAAGGCATACCCTTCTGTGTAAATAAATGATTTCTCATGGATATGGGCACTTTTCAAACCATAATTGCCGGTAAATCTTAGTGATTTTTATTTTAAATCCACAAGGTGAAGCTTTGTCTGTGAGGCGTGAACAAGATGCTGTCCTTGATGATGGGAAGAATGGAAGTTGATCCATGAATAAAAAAATATTACATTATTGCTTTTGTGAATATTGCCTCAAAATTCAATTGGCAACCGAATTACAAGAAATGTAATATGTTCCACTGCAGCTACAGAGTTGTTTACCTGCTACAAACATAATGTAACACAAGATAACACAAAAAATATTCACCACGTGAGGCAGTCTGTGCTGTAATTTAAATTAAATTTCTACTGTGCTCACTGAAGAAAGATGTGACTATGTCATGCTTTATGCTAAATGGAGTTAACGACGCTGTGACAGGGAAGGCTGGGATTACTGTTCCGATCACAGGCTGTAGGCTATGGACAACACATCATCACTTGCTACCACTGGGTATGGGGGCAGCCATCTTGCTTTTCTGGCATATTTTACAACTAGATTCTGCACAATAGTGTCCATAGCTGGCATCACAGTATCAGGCCACCAATCAAAGCTGTCAAATTATCCAAAATACATCCCCTTTATATCATCAAATACAATCAGAAGAAAAAAAAAAGCCACCTGTGCACAAATCAGTGTGATAATATCTACCTAAAATGACAGAAATCACCTTTGGGAAAAATTTATTTCATTTGTATTTTAAATTTTAGTGTAACTCATGTCCCAACTGCAAACATGGCGGGGGCGATGTTTATGACCTATACTGCAACCAGCCATCAGGGGGTGATTGACTTGTGGCGTCATGAAACCAAAGACTAATTAAATGCTTGCAGAATATATTTCACTAGTTAATTAAAATGACAATTTTCATAATAACTCCTCTAAGACAAAGATCCAACAGTCGCACCTAGTAAACAGCAAGTGAGAAAAATTGTTTTCCAACATGCTGTAATTTACACTTATTAGATGTCACAGCTGTTGTCTTCTTTTGATTTACAGTGTTTTACATAATATATGTAATAATGAATGTAAGAATTGGGATAATCAGCAGTGGCACAACAGACTGACAAGACAGTGCAGATGACCACTTTTCTCGGAGATGAAACAGATGATAAAACCAAAATAAATACTATATATTGGTTGCTACTTTGAATTTAATACTATTAATGAAACTATATCAAGATAAATTAAGGTTATATATAATTAATACTGCAGTTGTGTGTGCAGATGTGAACACCTCATGCACTGTAAATGTGTAAGCTGGGTGGCTTTAGTGTTTTAATTACATCGTTTATAAAGTTCATTTCCAAGAAAGATGCGTGGGCTCTGGAGAGAATGACAAGAATAAAGGTCCATTAACACATGAAAACAGACTAACCTTTATCATGAATTACCTACCTCCTTTAGAAGTACAAGATATATTACATGTTTTAAATTAGGGACAATTATTTCATGAAATAAATTTTCAAAGACTTGACTGGGTTTGTAGTTCACAACATGTTAGAGCAAAACAACATTTTAATGTTGTCAGGGAGCAGAAAAACATAACCAAATTACATAAATAACGAGTATCACAGCTTTTTCATCATTTAAAGTTATTGTACAGCTTGTAATGTATTATGTTTCCATATTGTTTCTCAGTCTTAAATGTAAGGCGCTAAAGTTTCACCAACTTCAATTTAAATCGGCTAAATACATTTTAAAAAATGCAGTAGTGGTTTGGAGAAAGGTAATGCCCTGAAAATGAGAGGTTAAGTTACATAGGCTAGTAACGGAATTGCATTTCTGATGAAAACAATCACAACTCAAAACGGCTTCTCTACCGAGGTGCATATGGGGACTACATCAGTACACTCTCATGTTATTTTCTAATAAGAAGATACAGCCTGTTGGGGTATATTCTGAGCTTAATTGAATTGTATTCAGAGTCTGTGTCTTATAAGCATCATAAAACTGCCAGGAGAGCACTTAAGACGCCAAGCTCAGTTCCCTGAGTCAGGAGGCTTTAGCTGAAGCACGTACAATCACAATAATATGGGTAGATTTTTAATATTGCCCTGCCACTGTTCCCTAAAGCAATCACAGCAAGACTCACTACATGGGGGTGGGGGGGGAGACTAAATTGGATTATGGGCCACAAGCGCACTTTAATTTTCTTGTGGGAATGCAAACGAATGAATGAGCATCTGCATCACTTCGTCACCTCATGAGAGGAGTGAGCAAATACAGTACAACCAATGATTTCCAAAGTGAACTTTGACAGAGAGATTGTGATCACAAAACTGTACTCTCTGGTGACACGCCTTCAGTTATTTAAAAAGAATCTTCTCCTTTAGAAGCCAATAATCCCACTATGTTCAGTTTGTGTTAATACTTCAGACTGTGTGTCACAACAATGAACACACGTCGAGTGGGATACAGTAATCTCAGGTGATTATCCAATTAGCTCTAACTGAGCTGACACACTAATGAGGATTGGATTGTTTGTGCTGTATCACTGAAAATGAATATTGAACTGGAATGATTCCTGGTAGCTGACTTTTGATGATCATGTCTTAATGATGATGATGATGATGCACCTGTGACACATTCAATGTGCCATTTTGGTCAAGATCACAGAAATGTAAACATGTAGTGAAACAAGAGGAACCTGAGCTATGACACCACAAACCAATTAAACAAAATAAACAATCACCATATAAATGCAAATAAACTCAATTAAAAAAAAAAAAAAAATCAGCTTTTAATAGAAGCAACTCATTGATTTTGTATTTTCCACATGACGCCCGGGCCTTCACGTCCTCTCCCAAGAAATTTTTACACCAGTCAAACCCTACGATCTTGCTAAGACTGATAACACAGTTTAAGCTTTCAAGCATTACATTTTGTGGCATTTCACAGGCAGCTTCTGTGAATTTAGAGTATGTTTGCAAGCTCAGGAAACATGTTAATGCTCAATAACTGTGTAAGCAGAAGACGTGCTTCCCTGATTTTCATGAGCTGATCCAACACTTCTTGGCAGCATAGACCACATGACCAACACCTATTCCAAAACCTTTCTTTTGTTAATTATTATATAATTGCCTTGGCTACACAATCAAAACAAAATCGAGCAATTTATTTGTGATGTTCTGCACTGCCAAGTGTGACTTCGACCTTCAAAGAGAACATTTTTCCTTTTTTTTTCCCCAAACAAAAACTCTTGTAGTGGAGTAAGTGAAGTTACTAGCAGCTCACCTATAAACTTCCAAACATCTGTATAGCATAGGACAGCCTGGCATCACTGCAAAGGTGGATACTGACTGCTGCTTCCTCCTGAGACAGTAATGGACACAATCTCACAGCAACAGGACTCTGTAATTTTATTCTGCTATTAACTAACAAAACCCACCTCATGTCGCCTGATATCAAGACATTTACCACCTAAATGTTTTCCTTCCAATCGATGTTTAATTCAACATGATTAGGAAACCTTAAGAAGGTTTTATCTGCAGGTTAAATTCAAGTTGTTTTCAATTCTTTTGTTTTTTCCTTCCAAGTTCTTATCACAATTCTACCTCTTGAGACTGTCAGAGAGTAAAACCTGCTAACAAAACTGGCCTTGTTATCTGGTAAGAAAACATCACATACTGTACCAACCCCAGAGCTGACTAAAAGTGAGGACACAGCTCCCTCAAGGCCAAATGGAAAGGGTAAGAAACAGTGAGAGAGATGACAGAATGCTAATCAGCAGGACAACTCTGTAGCTTTTAACAAACAGCACTAATTACACAGAGATAAAGACTTGTTCATCACGCAGCTTACAAGACACAAGTTAATTGCCTTTGCTTGTAGTCCTCCCTCCATCTAAAGTCAGTTGGTACCAAAGTCACTTGGAGCAAGTGCCATTGCTTTCATTTTTCAGATTCCTGTCTTGTTGATTCAGTACGCTTGCCATTATTTTTTAAGGTGTCTCACTTCTTACAAGAAATTTGGCTGAACCTGCACTAATAAAGCGGTGAAAGCCTATGTTGACATTTTAATGGTTTGTCATTACAGCTAACAGTACAAAGAGACACAGAGAAACAAACCTATGTAGGACGTAGGTACACTGGTTGAAATCTATACCATATATTACGGTACATAGCATTAGAACTCCAGCCCCAAGCAATGGAATCAATTGCATTCCTGTGAGGTTATCACTTGTACTATGAACACATATATAGAGGCCACAAAGCAAAGATATTTAGTAAGAAAACTGGAAATTGGATTTATGCCATTCTAGCATGTATTATACAGGTACTCTCCAACTGTGCCTTGGGCCGCAGAGCTGTGTGGATCAATAGGCTAAAAATAGACTAAGCAATGTGTTCAAGATGGTATTTAGATACGTTTGTATGTAGTAGACCTTTTACTTTGTGTTATAGCAGTAAGCTCTATCTATGTCTGTGGTGAGTATGTGAATTTTACAGTGGAGGATGGTCATCTGTACTGTAATGGCAAATGTGATCAGAATAAGCTGAGCTGCACAGAAAAGGAAAAGTGAAGACATTTAAAGTCAGAAGTTTCACCGTTCAACGGTGAGCATGTCATGGCTGCCGAAAGACTAAATGAGCAAAGCACAAAAGAAAGCAACAGGTCTAGAGGGAAAGCACTGCAGCTGTGAATCACACACACACACACTTCGGTCTCCCCACACTTTGTCAGCAGGGGATTTAAAAGCCTGCTTATCTACTTATCCAATACTGAGATATTCATATCTCATGACCTGTAAAATGATGAATCAAGGAATTGCACTAATGGCATTTTCTCCTTCAACATTTTATATTAACCAGCAACAGCTCAACCTTTATGTCTTACCTGGGGGATTCACATGTTCCCTGATAAAATGTGGTCCTTAAATCAAACATTGTATCAACCTGCTTTAGAATATTTGACGTTATGGGTGTATTTCTTGTTGTCACATGGGATTGCATATGTACAGCTGCCTATGTGCAGTGTGGACTTCAGCTGACATGATCTGTAATGTCAACTAATGCTGAGCCTTTTCCCCCACGCTTTCAGAAAACACCTTTCATTTCTAATCTTTTTTTCCCTCCGGCTAAAGTGAAAGTTCATTTGCAGAGGTACTAACTAGGTTTTGTATGCTTTGCTTGTGTTGTTTTGCACACCTCCCAGTGGTCTAGCATCGGCAGCCAGCGAGACAGATGTTAAAACACTGTTTTGCACTTAAATGTGACACATAAGGTTTCATCTTAACAAGTCAGACAATAAAGTAAAATGAAGGTTTTATTTCCACTGTTGGCTAAAACCAAATTTACATTTTGTAAAAGTTCAGAGATTACTAGAACACTATAGATTTAAAGTGCTGTGCCTTACAAATAATGAATCATCGCTGCTTCCCTTTACAGAACATTTAAAAGGGGAGATCTGGCATTTAGTCAGTGGCTTTACTTAATAGTTCTCACTTAATTCTATTGCTATAGATAGATAGATAATTTGGTTTCTTGATAACCACAATGGCCAACTGCATCCAAATTAAAACTGTACCGTTTCAGGTAGGTGTTCCAGTTTCCTCAGGTATTTTATAACATGAGCAGTGGACACAATCTAATCTTGAATAACTACTAAATTTACACATATGGGTTTCCTTGAGGTAAAACCTGATCATCAAGCAGAAACTGTGCTGAATACAGTTTTGATTTAACTTACATGACATAGGAATCAAAGAGGTTTCAGCTACAGCACGTGTTCATTGGCAGTCTTGCCTCTGACATCATGCATACAGTACAACAGGTAGACCTGGTGTTACAGACAGCCCTAAACACACAGGTAAAGTACAGAGGAACCGGGCACATATATACACACCTGCCGTTGAGCAAGGCAAGGAGCTCCCCAGCGTGGTACAGATCGTTGCGCGTCACCTGGCTGAAACGGAAGGAGTTGAGGTTGCATAAGGTGACCGCCGGGAACACAATCTGAGAGGCCGACACTTCGTCCAGCTTGGTGATATGGGGGTACTGGAAGTAGAACTGCACCCGGTCCACACACACCACCAACAGCACACCCAATGAGATCAAGAAGAACAAAATCCACAAGGTGCGCTTGACATACATCCGCTCATAAGTGAACATGTGTGAGATGCCATGCAGTGTGGACCTGCTGGCGAAAACTTCAATAGAAGCCGGGCGCTTGTACTCTGCGTCCTCCGACTCTGCTTTGAGATCCATTATGTCCCCGGGATGAGTTCAGATGAATGACGGATAGGGGACTGCACAAGGAGTAAAGTGGCTTTATAGATAAGCAGATGCTTTAAGTGTCTGCAAGTTCACGCCCTTCTACGCATGTGTTTCTCGTGCAGTTTGTGAGATGTTGCGTCAGTGGGTTAGGGTTAGTCACACACTCGGAGCATTTTAACAAAGATATCTTCAAAATACCTTGTCCTTACATGAATACACTTGGAGAAAGTATAGATAGGGAAACCATGTGTAGTACCTTGTTGGGCTCACAGTTCCATATGAAATAGCTCGGCATGGAGCGCGCATGGATAGATGCCAACGCTGTCCTCTCCTCGCACACTTCTGTAGAATATTACCGAGTTGATATTTGCCTTCCGCGCTCGTAACAAAAAGCAGAAACAGTGGTCAGGTCTGCAAGAACAGATCACGACTGAGAAGAATAAAAACAAGCAGACAAATCACATCAGCCAGAGCAACAAGGAAACCAGGTTTAGAAAATCAAAGCGGTGGTGTGTTCTCTCTGTGTGCGGGGCAGAGAATGGACTGGCATGGCTTTTCCTGCTCGTCAAACGCAATCCCAACGCGTGCTGAATAATAAATAGCCGCTGATTTCTCGCCTATTAACGTTTTAAAAACAGACGTGGGGCTGTCCTGGGTTTTCTACAGCCTGGATAAACAGCTGCATCACAGGGGAGCTCGCTCTGTCACACAGGCTGTAGCTTTCTCCGTGCAGAATTGAAGCCACCACAGAGGCGGTCGCGATTTGCCCGGATCAATGAAATTCAGCCCTAACAGCAGAGAGCAACATACTGCATGTGTTTTATTTACACAGGGCGACAAGTCCAGTGTTGATGTCACTCTAGCAATACCTGTAAACTACTTCATCCCACTTTACACGGTGACATAACAACAATATGACTAAACCATTAGTCATTAACTTCACTTATCCCTTCTCTGGCAGTCCTGAGCTAACTAGTAGCAATGTTTTACTTTCTACTGGTGAAAGCTGCTCATTTTTTTATATATTACAATGGTTACCAAACGTTACCTTTTGAAGGAGCTGTTAAGTTATTTATTTAGTCCTGCTACATAATAACATTGCTGATGTATGGGGGCCAGGGACTAGCCTATAGAAATATAGATCTGTCTGTGTCTTACATAAAGCTATGTAAGTAGGACTATTGGCTGCTCTGGGTAAATTAAGATATTTTTTTAAACAAATGAACAAGAAACGCTGAGGTCACCAGGCAATTCAGTTACTCCAACTCCAACAGAAAACCTGTGCCCTTTGGAAAACTAACAGAAGAATATTTTACTGGTAAAATTTAGTAAAGAATGTAAAAAGACAATAAAAACCATCTAAAAACATGTTATAAAAAAAGCTGGCTCAAACTGGTAGCTGATAAAAAATGTGAAGATACATCACGCTGTGTTCAATGTTGGCACAGAGGCATTGCTTTTTAGAGTTATGTGCTGTATTTACCTGCAAATATTCTTGTTTTGTTTGACTAAAATGTTGCTTAAATCGTTTAGATCTCACTTTACTGACTCTGGTAATTCAAGATGGATTCAACCTTAACTGACTAGCTAACTTTGAGCGGACCCATAGATCCCATCTACAAGAGCAACAGACTGAAAAACAACTCTGTACACTGATCTGAGCTCTTAGTTTTGGAGCTAATGCTAGCTAGCAGATTAATCAATTTTTGTCCTGTTTGTGGTAAAAACTGAAACAAAAGCAGATGTTTGGACATAGTTGAAGCATCTGCTACTGTATGTAATGTACATATCTATGGCTAATCATGAGTGTGATCAAAACACAGCAAATTTACTAAAAATTCAACACTGCGTGGCAACGACTTCACATTCTCTATAATGGTGAACTGAAACTGGAACGGTTAACGCTTCGGTCTTTCCCAGCTGCAACTTCCCTGTTCCATGGCAAATGGGATGCACAAATAAAAACAGAAACGCACAAGATTTACAAGCATGTTTTGCATTTTACAAAACATATTTTAACTCAAGTGAATTTCTCATCAAATTGCTTGCATTCATTTGTGGGAATTTCTTAGAGTAAGTCATTTTTTGTTGATGAAGATTTTGCTACTTGCAAATGCTCCCCAGGTTAAAATGAATATTTCAATTTTTTTGTATTCAGTTCACAAAGATGTTTCTGCATTTATACATGTCTTAGTAAATCTACATTTAGCTTGCCCGCATTTTATTTTATTCATTTATTTTCAGCAGTTTTTGAAAGCAAGTGAAATATTCTTCTGTCCAGTGAGTGTTGCATTCATTTCTAATAATAAAACCAGGATTAAAATGATTTTTTTTTAAAGTAGTCTGTTTACAAAGATGAGACTGTGTGAAAGTTCACATAAAATAATCTTACTGTTCAGGTTCATTAGCCATCTAGGGTGTGGCAAACACATATATGTGCACAAATGCACATATATACAAGAAACTCAGCACAGTGTATGATCGCAGGTCCAGGTGCACAATTCCTTTGTAAAGCACAAAAGTAAATAAATACTGAAGCACACATACTGTACACATACATATTGGTATATAAGCACATTTGTTTGTTTGTATTGTATACACATGCTCATACTACACATACAGTAAACAAAAGCTTTCATGCATGTACACATACACATAGTTGTACAAAGGCTCACACAAATCCTTGAACAAATTTATTTTCTCCCCTGACCAATTCTCTGTAGCTGGCTGAATGGAACATCCAAATATGTCAGAGTGAGTGAGTGCGCCAAACACAGGCCATAATACAGTCGTGTCGCAAGACTGCCACTGCCAAATCTGTCATAGAAACCATATTGCCAAGAGCCAAAGGGAGCTCAGCCATGAAATTGTTAATAATGCATTTATGATTGCCATTTGCCATACAGTAGTATTGACTATGGCAGTGTGGCAGTCATCTATAAAGCCTGCATCTTATGCTCAGCAGTGCAGGGGAGGTGAGCCCTGCTCTGTTCTGTGAGATGGTGTGAATTCAGGGTAGAGATTGTGGAGCAGTGACATATGTGGATTTGATGTTACAGTGGATAGTAACTTACTGAGGTGCATTACGATCACTGTCTGTATACTGTACTTATTCAAATTTACTGTGTCACAGTTATCTGTGCTACAGTGACACTGGAGTAGCTTACTGAGAGGATACATCTGTCCTTTTACAATATTCTGAAGAATATGATAGTGTAATGCTCCCCAGAGATACTTAGATGAATAGGCCTGTCTCTACAAAGTCACTTTTTAGTGCAGCTTTCTTTGCAAAATGCTCTTTGGTTCAGCCCTCCCTACACTTTCCTGCTGTCCAGGTCTGCATATGAATGTATTTCAATCCACTTGATTTTACAAAGAAAGCTCAGAAATTGAAAAGAAATGTTAGATATATTGGCAGCATGAAGAGAGAATGACTTGATTATACTAACAGATTGTCAAGTAAGAGGCAGAGTAAAAATAGAGTACTATAGAGGAGTAAAATTGCAAAGACTATTCATGCACAATCACTGTATAGTAGATTTTTTTTTGGAATCTGTCATCAAACCCAAATTGTTTATATGGATGTTTAATACAAAATACATTAACCAAATCTAAGTTTAGTGTTTCACTGAAACGGGTGGTTTAAATCTGTTCTTTTTGTAACAGTGCAGCATTAGTTGAAAACAAATGCTTTGTGTGTGTGTGTGTGTATGTATGTGTGTGTGTGTTAGCCAAATATATATGAATATACCTCCATATAAATTGTCAAAAAAGTAATTGGGCTTTTAAATGCAAGTTAGGTGTTAGAAGGGAAGTGGGTTCACTATGCTGAAAAGCACTGTGAGGCACTGGGAATAAGAGGGAACAAAATGCATTAATGGCAGCGAGCTGTTTTTGTATTCTTCCACACAGACACATGAATATACTTTTAGGAGGTTCCCAATATCTCTGCTCACATAAATGCATATTCTGTTTTGGTGTGCCACTTTCTTTTTCTCCCCATTTCATCTGTTTTAAATAATGATGTCAACAGCCTCTGTTATGAAGCTTTAAAAAACGAATCTGGAAAGTTGAGCAGATTTTAGCTTGAAGTATGTTACTGCAGAATGCCAGAGAATAAATACTTTAAAGGCCACCACAAGGAAAACTTTTGGCAGTTTGACAGCTTTTGCACTTGACCACTTTCTAAACACCTATGATTACTCTACATTTCACCTCTTGACCAAATTGCATGGAATCATGGAACTGATTTCCACTGCTACGCTGATGATACTCATCTGTACTGTATGTGCCTCTAAAAACAGATGATCCTTCTCAAATTATATAATTAGAGGCTTGTTCATCTGGTGTGAAAAGCTGGATGTCACAAAATTTCCTGCTCCTCAGTTCAGATAAAAGCGTTGCTGATCATTGGCCCAGACTTTAAGGTGCTTCTAACAATATACAAAATCCTAAATGGGCATGCTCCTTCATACCTCTCTGATCCCCTTAAACCTTACATTTCGTCCCATGCTTTCCGCTCTCAGAATGCAGGGCTCCTGTCTGTCCTCATGAAGAAGTCTGCAGGCTGTAGGGCCTTATCCAATTTTGTCCCCTTTCTCTGAAATCACCTCCCTGCTGATATCAGACAGTCTGACCCAGTGGAGAGATTTAAATCCAAATTTAAAACTCATCTGTACGCCATAACTTTCAGCTAGTAGCATATGTAGTCTTGATTACTTCTTGCCTTCTATGGTATTTGTAATTATTGTCCTACTGGTGGGTTTCAGTCTCAATTTATCTATTAAAATTGGTTATGCACAAGTACAGTCTATGTTGTCTTGCAGGTGGAATTACTGCGAACTTTATGAAAATCACTGCAATCTCTAATCCTGTTTGTTTGTTCCCTTGACCACATGGGCATCCAAGCTGTGTGTCTTTCTCTCTCTCTTCTCCCTGTCCTCTCTGCCATGCAATTTTTCTTTGCTGGACCATTGATTATCCTGAGACCTCTCTCTCCTCTGGCTATGAGTGGCTGTTCTGACGTCTGGATCTGGATTCTTGTCCTTGAGGAGTCTGATTGGTCACTCTCCCCTTCATTGGGTTCATTTTGTGTTTATTTGTTCATCTCCTTTTTCTTTTCTGTCTCTCACTGCTTCAGCATCTGAATTACTACCCACCAAGTAGGCTACATTCTGTATGGTTGCACATATGCAAGGAAAACTGGTTCATGTTAGCACATAGGAAAAAAAGAGGTTTGTCTCTGTAACACTTTGTTAGGTCGACTCTCCTTTAATATTCCATTTGGATTACATTGGAGTAGGTTCACACACAAGCAGATTATTCAGTGTCTCCTCTCCTCTTATGTCCTTCTCCTCCTTTCAGCTTACTCCATCCATGCAGATTGGCTTTGACTTTAGCCAAGTCCACATGATGTGCCAACCAATCCAAAGGGAGCTGGCAGAGAATATGAATGCATTCTGGGGGTCCCATTGAAAAGTCTCTTTAGTTATCATTGGGTAAGCAGGATACAGAGGGAGCAAGATGCTCTTGACCCTGATAATTTGAGTCAATTTCCTGCCCACACCTAGAACCTGCTTCCAAACCATTGTTGTCATGGCACTGGTCCAGAGGATGACATCATCACAGGGTGAGAGACAAGGTCTTCAGACAGATGGTCGTTAGATCTAATAATGAGTATCTGCAGGTTTCAGCCCAGACAAATGTGTACTACCGTACTGGGCAATGATCGTTATCAGTCAAGGACACTTTTATTGACAGCAGGGGAATCCATCAACAGAAAGTCTCCATACCCACAAATGAGCT